CTCTGCTTCACACTGCTGGTCATGGGTCAGTGGCAGCAACACCCCTCCACGTGTCTCTCATTCATGTGGGACCAGCAGGTTTCCAGGGGCCCATTTTCCTCATGGTAATGGTGAGACGTGCAAGGGGGTGGAGCCCACCCCCGATAAGGACATCTTAAGTCTTTGCTTGTTTCATGTCTATTAACATCCCTTTATCAAAATAGGTTATATGGTCAAGCCCAACATTAATGGGTAGAAAATATACTCTACCCACAGTGAGTGGGTTAGGGAGGCAATTATCTGCTTAATAGTAATCTGAGTTACCACAATCATGAAAGATCAATCTATGATCTAGCCAACATTTATCATTTATTCAAAAGATATTCTCTTTTCCTCACAGGCAAATCTACTCCTAATACACTATACTACGTTGCTTATGTAATTCATAATTAGAAAATAAGTTTGAAATATGCCATCAGCAGCCTACAAGGAAGGTAAATATATACACAAACTACTATTCTACAAGAACATGCAGTATATCCCTAATGGAGACTACATACAGTAGTGGAGATAGCAAAGATTTTAGCATCAGGCAGACTGGGGTTCTGGGTTGTGGGTCCTATCACCTGCTGGCACGTGACTGTGGGTAGTTGTTTAAGTTCTCTGAGCCTCTTTGCTTCCCTTGTGAAATGAATACGACAACAGTGTCTATCCCACAGGGGGGCCACAAGGTGAAATGGCACATGGTACGTGCGATCCCTGGCAGAGAGTGAGGACTCTGGGCACGTCCATTCTCTCTCATTGTATCCTCCTGTTCTCTTACGCTCTTGTTGAGACCCAACTGCAAAGTGCACAGCCCATAACCTGGGAGAGATTGTGGGTATAATTTCCTGCTTTATCTCTTTACTGGAGCCCACTTTGACCTGTGGTGCACTGGGATGAAATCCTCAAGGAATGAAGTATGAGTCTCATTTCTTAGAGTCTATCACCTTATACATCTAGTTTGGATTACTTTCCCCCAAGCACATCAACTTTTTTTTTTTTTTTCTTAATGACTTAAAAGGACTCTGATTTCCTCTGCTGATTTATGTCTCTTTGCTCACCTGGCCATCTCTCTGTGCGTGGTCTGAGTCATCACACATTTCAACTCTCACCCATGTACGTGGTACCCTAAACTTGTCTAAACCCAAAGATCCACATCTACACGTCAGATTGCTCCCTGGATTTCTCCAAGTGAATGTCAAGCAAGCATCTCAAGTCCAACATATTAAATACTCAAGTTATCATCCATTTTCCAAGTCTGGGCCTCTTAGAGTGTTCCTTGTCTCAGTGAACGGCTTCATCATCGGCCCAGCCACCAAGGTCAAAACTTCATGGTTGCCCTAACTTCTCTTCGTCCCTCCTCATTCTAATACATTCAGTAGTAAGCACATCAGTCAAGATAATTTTGGCTATAGAGTAGCAAGAACCCCAATATAGGCCAGCTTAACCAACAGCAAAATGTGACTATGTCATGTAACAATTCGTCCAGAAGTGAGCAGACACCAAGTGTCAAGGCTCTGGCATGACTTCACTCCAATTTTCTTGGATTTCCTAACTCTGTCCTCCCTCTGTGAGCTTCAGTAGCATGCTGACCACAAACTGACTACAGCAACCATAGGCATCACTATATGTAAAATAATACCCAGAGTTTCTTTGAGGGGGAATTGTCTTTGTATCTCTCCCGTGGGATTAAGGACATCCTCAATAGATGTTTCTCGAAACACGAAAACACACCTTTACACTGGCTCTCCTTTTCCTCATTCCCACTCTCCCTACTTCCTCACTCCTTCCTGGAAGAACCTCCCCAAATAAACTCCCTGAACCTAAGTTCTCATCTTAGGCTGTGCTTTCAAGAGAATTCAAGTCAAGAGATGACATGAGAGCATGGTTTTTAACCCATTTTTCAACTCGGTAGTCTCAGTACTGGTTCTATTCTAAGAGTTCTCTCCCAGAGCACACCTGAAAGATAGTATGAGTCACTTGGACTTGTTCATGCCCATTTGGAGCTTGATCTGGTGGCCAGAATGGTGGCGTGTGCCCCTTAGCCAAGGCTGAGTCACATGCTTATCCAGAACTGGAGGTTGAGGTGAGCCACACCAATGTCACATATGTGGATAGGTAGAGTGTGTTTCCATGAAAAATCAGAGTTAGGTTGCTGAAAGGAGGGGGGATAAGTGCTAGGTAGATTAAACAACAATACTCATTCAGAAAGTCACCAGAGCCCCTTCATCTATGGTACCCAGAGGCGACTGCGACAGCAGAAATGAGTAAGGAGTCCAAAGAATCTTCACCAGGGGAGTGACATCTCTGTCAACTAGAGTTGGTAATGACCTAGGAAGTGATGGAGGAGTTCAGACAGAGATTAAGCCCATTTGTTTGATTAGTCCAGCCAAAGAATTGATAGTTCTGGATCAGGAATCCAAGACTTCAACCTTCCACGGCTGGGCTAATTGCACTGTAAAAACCGAAGTGGAAAAAAATTACCCATCCCTCTCTCACAGTGGCTGCCTCCTCAGTGATCCTGACAGTGCTGAGTTGTAAGGACTATAGAGTTATGCTCTCAAAACACCACACTGTTATAAAGATGATGGACTTGGCTCTCGGACAGGTCCCTTTCTGGATTTACTAATTCAGCCCATTAAGTCTAATCTGTGTCTATAAAGAAAAATGTTGACTCCTGATTTACTTAGCTTATAAGACATATTTCTTTTCGCACGCAGAGTGCCTGGGACAGTCCCTGACTCAGCTCTCAGCTGCCCTGCTTTCATGATGATTTAGGAAATAACAGAATGAGTAGGCTCGCGAGGAGAGGAAAACAGATTGGGCTGGAAGCCTTCAGAGCAGAAGAGGGTTGTTCCTTGCTTTTGTCAGAAATGGGTCTGCTGGGAAGGTAGCGTGGGGCAGGGGTGCGAAGGGAGAGGTTGGAAGGTGTCGGGGAGGGGCATCTGGCTGTGCAGTAAGGACAAAGGTATTGAACCAAATGAATACATAAATCAGAGAAGATCCGATTAGGGTGAAAGTACAGTCTCGATATGAACATCCTTGACAGCCAGTGATGTCTACAGAATGAGGCTATGGGGGCAAGAGGGGGATGTGGCAGAAAGGAAAGAAGAGGCTAAATTTAAGAGACACTATTGAGAGGAACAGAAAACAGAACTTAACGCTTACGATGAGAGTTTTAAAGGCAACTGGCAGAGTGTAAAGCTAGCAGCAGTAGTCTGAGATGCTGGGGAGAGGTGGGTGAGATGGGAGGAAGACAATAAATCAAGAAATACAGTTTCAAATGTGGTGCTTAGAGTAATGGAGAACAACAATGGAATAAATAAAGCAGAAACGGTATGAAAAAGAGGCTGTTTCTGATTAGCGGCATTAAGAGCGGGGACAGGGGAGCATTTCTTCCGCCATGAGCTTTTCTGTGCTATTTGAATCATCACCCTGTGCATGCGCTGCTCCGAAACTTGAAAAACAAATGCCATACTTCAGCAACTACCCTGTTAGCATGGGCTACGCACCTGCTCTGTGCCAGCCACTGTGCTTGGGTTTGGGAATTAGAACATACATAAGAAAGACAAGAGGGTAAGTGTTAACATGGAGAAATCGTTCCGCTTGGGAGAAGTGCTAAAAAGGCATGGGAAAGATTCCCCAAAGAGGTAAGACAGGAGTTGGATATTGAAAAATGGAGAAGTATCCGCCAAATTAACAATGCGGCAAGGACCGTAGATGCCAAGAGACCAAAATACCCAAAATATTAGAGGCATGGAAGGCAATGAAATCTCTGAGCAACTTCAAATGCAACGTTACCAGTGCATTTTGGTGCAAGATCGTAAGGACAAGTGAGCTCAAGTCAGGAAGGGCCTGTTATGCTACATTGGTTGGAATTATATTTTGTAGACCAGGGGTTGCAAACTCAAATACACAGAACAATAGTTGGGCAGATAATGGCAACAAGAGAGGCAGAAGGGAAAGGCAGTGGTGGGTAAGAGATCACACGTGTTCCAGCTGAACACAAGGTACAGTAGATTGCTGCTATTCAAGGGTCCAAACCCACCATCAGAAATGTTCTAGTTTTTCCAAATAAAACTAGGATTCATGATTTTTACGTGAAACTTCTTAATTTTAAAATATTGGCAACTTTATCAGTCGGGCTATGCCATGATGTGCTGTGATAACAAAGAAGCCCCCAGTGCTCCATGGTATAACATCATAATGGTTTATTTTTCACTCGCACATAGGCCAATAGGGATAGAACACCTCTCCTTCCAGTTGTACCTATGTCAGCAGGATCCCACAGCCTTCAAGGTCGTTGACCCAGAAGTACATTTGCCTCTTAACGGCCTTGGCAGCAGACATCCAGGCACCCCAAAGAGTGTTTTTTGATATCACATTTTCATTTTACAAAAAAATAATTTCAGGACGGTGGAAACTGTTGACTGGAGATGGGGATCCTGGAGGAAGGATTTATTATTATTTTTTAACTGCTTTGGAGAGCAATACTGAGGACTCAGGACAGGACAGGACAGGAACAGTAGGACCAGAAGAGAGAAAGGATGCCGATACGTGGCATTAACTCTCTCACTTTGCAAATAAACAGGGCAGCCGCAAGGTTTCTGTGAAATGCCCAAGGTTGCAAAGTTAATAAGCAGCTGTCCAGAACCTCTTTGTGAATCCAGTACACTTTCATCACATTAGTAGAATGGTCGAAAGGAAAAGTAATGGAAATATAAAATCTTTGACTTTGAGAATTAGGCTTTGGGGAGCTTATCTAATGCAAACACTCAATGCCATCGGATTTTGCTCATAACTGATTTTAAATGTGAACCCCCTCAAAGATATTACTTTCTTCTTAACTTATAAGACCTGCCAATGGGTAAACATCAAACAGATAATGTATTCATTTTTTAACCTTGATTTAGACTCTTTTCCTATTACCTTCTGGGAAATCCTCAGCTTAAGAAAGAAATGTTTTTTATCTTTCTCACCTCTAAACGTGTCCTAGTGCTGGAACAGTAAGCATTCTAATCAGTGCAGCTCCGAACCATCTGTGATGAGATTTCTTCGGGAGGATTCATCTCAGTCTCTAATGCTCAGAAGTAGTTAATCCACTTGAGCCTAAAGCAGAAAGAAAACAGAGAAAGGAAAAACGTCAGGAAGGAGGGAGCGCATGTGTGGGGGAGAGAAGACAGATTAAACGGAGCAGTGCTTTTTTGCCCTAAAGCTCCAGAAAATGAGAACATAATGCATCTGTGGAAGATCACATAAAAAAATTAATGTTGAGCAAAAAGTTCTAATATTAATTACAGGGAGACTTTATAGCGGGCACCGCGTTCGCCATTTTATAGGATCATTGCAGTTCACCTGCCCCATTTCCTCACGGGGCAGCTGAGGAGTCCCCCCTTTCACGAAGGAGCAAGTTGAGGTGGAAATGCACCAAATCACGAGCTACCAGAGATTCCTTGTTTTTTATACCCAACGCCCGAGTTTTGCTTTTTTCCGATGTCCTATGTAACGGTCTTATATTCGGATTCAACAAGTGTTTATCAAGTATTTACCGTGAACTCCAAATACGGACACAGTTCATCTCATTTAATCCTTAAAATAATCCCACGAGGTCAGCATTGTTGCAGTTATTACAACAAAGGAAAACCAAGTGCAAAATAATGAGATGCCTGCGGTCTTGTTCTGGGTGCCAACGGAGATACGGGCCAGAAACTCAACTTTCTGATGAAGGAGGCCCTCTTCATTTTGCCATCTTTATACTTTCGGTGGGAAAATCTTCCTGATAATGAGTCTCTCTAGGCTTCCTGGTCTCATCTGGTCTTTCTCTCTTTGCCTAGAGGACCTACTGAAAGAATATGTAGGAGGAGAATAATTTTAATTATGACAACCATTTGGGGACATATACATCATCACCGTGTAGCCTTATAACAGCAGCATGAAGCATATGTTAACAGAACAGCCAGTATAATGATGTCCTTAAGGGAAATTACTTTGGTGAAAAGGTAAATAGATCTGAGTGTGAAGACGGTCTCTGGGGCATCTCTGTTAGGAGAGTTTGAGAAGACGTTTTAAACTTTATGGTTCTCTATGGGGCGCCTGGGTGGCGCAGTCGGTTAAGCGTCCGACTTCAGCCAGGTCACGATCTCGCGGTCCGGGAGTTCGAGCCCCGCGTCAGGCTCTGGGCTGATGGCTCGGAGCCTGGAGCCTGTTTCCGATTCTGTGTCTCCCTCTCTCTCTGACCCTCCCCCGTTCATGCTCTGTCTCTCTCTGTCCCCAAAATAAATAAACGTTGAAAAAAAAATTAAAAAAATAAATAAATAAACTTTATGGTTCTCACACACAAATGCCATTGTTGGAACATAATCCAAGTGGATTAAACATCTGGATGATTATTCATGAGGCTGAACGTACAGTAAAAATATATATGCTACAAGTTCAAGACATGTGGGAAAATGTGACCCACAATCAAGGCATAAAGTAGTCAATAGAAACAGTCCTGGAAAAATCCAGATGATGGAAGTAGCAGACGAAAACATGCAAACAGCTCTTGAAATCACGTTCATGGAAAGGGTGGGCATATGAGGAAATGGAGAATCTTAGCAGAGAAATGAGAACGACAGAAATGAGTCCCATGGAAAATCTAGGGCTGAAAAGTCTAATATCAGAAGTGAACAATTCACTGGATGAGGACACTGAGATTTTTGTCTTAGTGTTCCAAATACTGGCATAGGATGATAACATTTCCAACTATGATTATAGAGATGGATATTTTTAACTTCAGTATTGCCATATTTTGCTTTATGAAGTTTGGAACTCTGTTAGTAAATGCCTAAGTGTGATGGTTAGTGTTATATCAACTTGGCTGGGCCATGGGGTACACAGTTATTTGGTCAAACATTACTCCAAGTGTTTCTGCGAGGATATTTTTGGTTGAGTTTAATATTTAAATTGATATACTGAGTGAAGGAGATTGCCTGGACTAATGTGGGTGGGCCTCATCTAATCAGTTGAAGACCTGAATAGAAAAAAAGGACTGACCCTCCCCCAAATAAAGGGGGGTTCTTCTACCTGACTGCTTTTTTTCCTGAAGCACCAATTGTCCCCTGTCTTTGGACTCACACTAGGACACGGGCTTTTGCTGAGTCTCAAGCCTGCTAGCTTTTGAACGGGAACAACACCATCAGCTCTCCTGATTCTCAGGCCTTTGGACACACACTGGACCCATATCATCAGCTCTCTGGAGTCTCCAGCTTGCAGACTATAGATCTTTGGGCTTGTCAGCCTCCATGGTAGCATAAGACAAGTCCTTACAATAAATCTCTTTGGTGTATATGTATACACATCCTACTGGTTATGTTTCTCTGGCGAATCCTGACTAATATAATAATTAATCTGGATTGTTATGTCTTCCTGGAGGATGATTATCTTGCACTATTTGTCAGGCAGTTTCTGGGTCTCCATTTCCTTGGAGTTAATGGAGCTTTATAAGTTTCCTTTGGTGGTGTCATATTTGCCTGATTCTTCATGACCCATGTAGCCCAAATGTTCTGTGCATTTGAAGGAGCCAACAGCTCTTCTAGTCGTTATAGACTGGTTTCAGCAGATAAAGACTTTTGCTTGTCAGTTTCCTGGGCATTGCCAGACGGCATTGCCTCTGGAATCATCGTCATACTGGGCTGGATCCAGGACTATCTGGGCTATTGCTGGGTTTGCAGTGGTATCCGTGGTTGGTGGACCTGTCACCGGGGAGTTGGGCGAGCATGGGTCTTGTCTGGTCCCTGAGTAGATGGAAATGCCTCCAGGACTTTGTTCAGTAGGGTGGCGCTGAGTCAAAGGTCCATTTCAGAGTCCTCAGTTGGGTCCACAGACAGTTGGCCTGATACCAGGTATGTGGTAGGTGTGGCCCCTACCTATTCCCTGAGAGGACTCCTGCCTGGTCATTGGGTGGCCCCTTGAGAGGGCAATAGTGGCACCCAATCATGGCTGAGGGGGCTGGACCCATGTACCATGGCTGCTTCAGATTTTACAGCCAAGATTAGAGTCTGCATACCTGCCTCTGGAGGCAGAGATGGGCATACCTTGCAGCTGGTATCTGAGGGGGCAGGTCTCTCTGGGCGTGGCTGGGGCTGGACTGTGAGGCTGTTTCAGGATTTGTAGTCAGTCTGAGGTTTGGGGCTCACTCTGGGGGCACGGGCAGGTGTGTGTCCTGCTGGGCTACTGGGTTCACAGAACTGCTCATGTCCCACAACTGGCAGGGGTTAGAGTCGCGGGGCCATTTCGGGATCTGGTGCTGCCTCCAGGTTGTCTGCTTTGCCTCTGGGGGGCAACGAATGGCCAGGTCTCCCACAGGGCACCTGGGTCAGTGGGACTGTGGCAGTTAGTGGCTGGGAGGGACTAGAGCCGAGTCGCAGGATCATTTCTAGGTTGTTGGGCTTCCCTTCAGGGTCATGATGGGCTTGCCCCCTGTCAGGTCCCTGGACCCGCGGGACTTCTCACAGACCGTGTCTGGATGGTCTGGAGCCAAGCACAGCGACATTTTAGGATCTCCAGGGGTGCCGGCGGGAGTGCCTCTTGCTGGGATCTCTGGACTGGCAGGACTGCCCTGGGACTAGCTGGGAGTGGCTGGAGCTCAGTTAAAGGGCTGTTTCGGGGTGGGTTGTGTCCAGGGGCTCCCAGACCGAGACTAAGAGAGTCTGAAGCCAGGTCATGGCTTCAGGGTCCACAGCCCAGACTAAGTAAGGGCTGTGGCCTATTACTAAATGTATGGGTGGGTGTGACTCCTCCCGGTCCCTTAGCATATGGTGCTCGTGACAACCAAATGGGGCTGTAGCCTAGTCTGCAGGGGCACAGAGCTGTTTCTGGGTCTGCAGCCAGGACCAGTCAGTTAGCCACCTGGGTGCGGGCTCTTGGTCTTGGACTCTACCCAGGTATCACAATGTTCGACCTGGGTCCCAAGGCTCCCACAAAGGCACTTTTGCCCAAGGATTGATGCCAAATCACTGTGCCGCAGGTAGATACAAGCAGAGAACTTTGAATCCCACCATCTTGCCAACACCATCTAAAACTGTTTTCATTTTTTACTTATTTTAAATTTTTTTGGTAGTTCTCTGGTTTTACTTTTTTTTTTTTAATGTTTATTTATTTTTGAGAGAGAGAGAGGGGATGAGCCGGGGAGGGGCAGAGAGAGAGAGAGAGAGAGAGAGATACAGAATCCAAAGCAGGCTTTAGGTTCTGAGCTGTCAGCACAGAGCCTGACGCGGGGCTCGAACCCACGAACTGTGAGATCATGACCTGAGCCGAAGACAGACGCTCAACCAACTGAGCCACTTAGGTGCCCCTAGTTCTATGGTTTTATTAACACAAATACCACACACACATAAGCTAAGCTGTGTATTCATTTTCTTTGCTGTGCAGCCCAGCATTGGAACTGGTGACTCAGATGGCCAGCGAGGCTGCTCTTTCCACAATGGCCTTGCGGTTCTTGGAGGAGACATCGGGGGGCAAGCTCTGTACAGTAAGATTTGTTGCACATCAGCAGGTCTTCAAGCTCCTTGACGTCGTGGACTGGGAAATTCCAGAAGCCACCAGGAAGCATGTGCTTTGTTTCCTGGTTGCTCCCATAATCAATGTTGAGCATCAAAATCTGGCCCTTGAATCTTCTGTGCACCCTATCGTCAATGCCTCTGGGTTTCCACCACTTGTGCTTCATTTTGACATATTTTTTCTGACTGGGGCAGGATGAGGTTCTTGGTCCTCTCTTTAACGATCTTGGGCTTCACCAGAGGTCTGAGGGCAGCCGTGATGCCGAGTAGGAGATGGCCACTAACCTCTGCAGGCTGCCCCAAGGAAGTGACAAAACTGTGTCTTTAAATCTCTGATCGATTTCAAGGTTTCTCTGGGTCTTTTGCTTTTAGCTGATGATTTTAATTTTTAAAACTGTTGTTTGAGGGGCGCCTGGGTGGCGCAGTCGGTTAAGCGTCCGACTTCAGCCAGGTCACGATCTCGCGGTCCGTGAGTTCGAGCCCCGCGTCAGGCTCTGGGCTGACGGCTCGGAGCCTGGAGCCTGTTTCCGATTCTGTGTCTCCCTCTCTCTCTCTGCCCCTCCCCCATTCATGCTCTGTCTCTCCCTGTCCCAAAAATAAAAATAAACGTTGAAAAAAAAATTAAAAAAAAAAAAACAAAACTGTTGTTTGAAATTTTTGGTTTGATGTTCCTTGTTTGGTTTCTTTTATACTTACCCCATTTAGAGTTGTCTCAGTTTATCAGACCGTTCATTTTTTTCAAATAATTTTTCTGCCCTAGCGTTACTCTCCTTTCTCTCTAGACATTTAATTACTCAAATTTTATGCCATTTTCTTCTTATTCTATCAAAAATTCTGGTGGTTCTTTTCGACCCTTTCTTTTGTTCTTCTGTTCTTTGCCTAGCCTAAAACTGACAGCAGTTCAAAGCCATCTTATTTTGTTCTGTTGTTATATAAAGATTATTTTGGCTCCTCTGGGTCCTTTGAATTGCCACATAAATTTTAGAATCAATTTGTCAATGCTAGGAAAACAATCTTGTTCAAGTCACATTGAATCAATAGATGAATATATATTTAGTAACCATATGGTAATCATCAATAAAGAGAATAGAAATATGTGCTTTTTTTAGCAAAACAATAAAAAAGGGGATATATTTTCATCAACCTCACAAAGTAAGAAGGGGAAAGAGGCAACTAGAAAAGGATAGTAATCCGGAAAAAAGGATTAGTGGATAGACATATATCTGAGTATGCCTGTAATCACAACACATAAACTAATTAACCTTTTAACGAAGGTTATCAATAACAATAATAATAAGAAAACTATCTATTTCTACCTCTTATTGATCACAAGAGACCCACCTAAAATAAAATTGCAGAGTAAATGAGATATAAGTAAGAAAATGTATAAGATGCATATCCTAAGTAAGGGAATGTTGACAAAGGCATATCATTATTTTTAAAAGTTGAACTTCAAAGTAATAGCATTAGTAAGAATGGATGTTCACTCCTTAATATTAAAAATAACAACAGTATTTGGCACATAGTGGACATCAATTATTATCTCTTGAAGTAATAAATGAATATAGCAAGAGGGAAAAAAACCATGATTTTATGCTTCTCTAAAGAAACTGATCAAGAATATTGAAGAACTGGAAAGTATATAAATTATTTAATTATTTGAATAGTACAATGAATGTAATGTAAAACTCTACACCCAACAAAGAGAGATAGGATTGTTTTTATGAACACATTGTCTCTTTAAAAACTTGACCATAGACTAAGTCACAAAGAAAGGCTTATATTCTTAAGAAATTCTAATAATCTTTATTGTAAATAAGAATCACCTGTTAAGCTTCTTAAGCCACAAGATAGCTGGCTTCAATTCCTAGAGAGTCTGATTCAGTAGATTGAGGTGCAGCTTAAGAATTTACATTTCTGGGGCACCTGGGTGGCTCAGGCGGTTAAGTGTCAGACTCTTGATTTCAGCTCAGGTTATGATCTCGCAGTTCATGGGACTGAGGCCCTCATCAGGGCTCTGACAGTGCAGCGCCTACTTGGGATTCTCTCTCTCTCGGCCTCTCTCTCTCTCTGCCATTCCCCTGCTCATGTGCACGCATGCCCCCCCCAAAAAAAGAAATAAGTATTTTTTTTAAAAAAAGAATTTACATTTCTAATAACTGTTGGCTGATGACATGGTAAAAGTCCCTAGACCACACTTTGATAGCATATTCTCTGGCAACAGTATAAATGACTTCAAAATCAGTAACGGAAATGTATCTTAAAGAGAAAAAAAAAAAAAAAAGCATGTGCCTAAACATTTTTTTGAAAGCTATCCTTAATTACTCAGGGGTTAAGAAAAATATCACAATGAAAATTGCAAGATATTTTGAAATGAACTATAAAGCAGTTAAATCAAAACCTCAGAGATTAAGTCAATGTGATATTTAGAAGTATATGACCTGATATGTATTTATTTATGAGAATCAACAATATAGGAATTAAATGAGTTATAGTTTCAATTCAAGAAGTCAGAACCAAACAAACAAAAATAGTTCTATTTCTGGTAATGAAGACCTACCTCGTAGCAGTCTAAAACTCCTGCTGAGAACATAGAGAATAGATGGACAAAATACAAAAATAATTTGAATGTACCAAGGAGTCACTTATGGAGCCAGAATTAGGACGATAGAGAGAAGGGAAATGCATTGGGGTGTATCCGACATTTTATGTCGCTTTTTCCTGCAAGGCATTCATAGATTTTTACGTATTCCAGGCTGAGAAGTTTAGCAAAAAGAGAATGCTAAGGAGTAGAGAAACTAATCATAACTTTGGCACCCTCTTGGGGCAAGAGAGAATGACATAGACTTTATGGCTATGGAAATAACTGATATTTAAGAAGCAAAATTGCCACAGATTAGGAAATGCGCAGTACAGAGCCTGGTAGCCTCACCTTTGATCACTCAAGACATTTGCTTATTCATCTGTGCAGAAAATCGAAAGATTGCAGCCAGGAGATGGACGAGTTGAACGGCTAAATGGAGCATCATGTCGGGGCTATTTATAACTTAGATTTCTTGGTGACCAAGAAAAAGGAGTGCTGATGAATAATCAAGATGTCCTCCAGGCATTTATAAATGTATCATTATACATTCCTAGGGAGAAGAGCAAAGAAAAAAAGTAAATTAGGTTTTATAAAGAGTGAAAACCAGTTTCAGACAAACCTAATTGATTATGATAAACTCATAAACTAACCAAACTGACATATATCGAATACTGGAACCAGCAATTTCAAGAAACACAATCTTTTCAAGCACCTATCCAATGTTTACAAAAAGTAATCAAATGATGGACAATAGACTAGTCTCAGCAAATGTCAAATATTAACACAATTGAGAATTCATTCTCTGCCTACATGGGAAATAAGCTAGAAAGCAGCAACACATAGAAATATTCCAAATATCTATTTGGAAATTAACACATATGCTTATAAATAATATATGAATCAATATAGTAATCCTGAAGGAAATCAAAAACACTTTGAGGTGGATGTAATGAACATATGTCTGTCAGAAGTTGTGAGATCTCGTTAAAGTATACTTACAGCTAAGTTCATAACCTTAAATACACATAATAGAAAAGAAGAAAGGTGGGAATTCAAAGATCTAAAATTTCATCTCAGGAATTTTGACCAAAACAAGGGGGGGGGACAATTAAAATTTCTCCTAGGAGGAAATAAGATGGAGATCGAAACAGAAATTAATAATAGGAAACACGAAGGAGAGAAAATAGGCAGACATAAGCTATTCTTTGAAATGAAGAAAAAAATTGATAAACATTTTGAAAAACTTACCAAGAAAAGAATGATGGTACAAATTACAAACATTAGGGCCATAAAAGGGGATGTCACCACAAATCTGACAGACATTAATGTGATAAGAGGATAAAATAAATGACATTTTTCCCAATAGACTTGAAAATTTATATTAAAAAGACAAATCCTAACACTTTCTAAAACTGACACAGAGAATATAGAAAATACAAATAATCCTAAATCTTCCTATTTTATTTGTTGTTTGTTTGTTATTATTTTATATGTCCATTAATAATCTTATAAGACTGATAGGGGCGCCTGGGTGGCTCAGTCGGTTAAATGTCCGACTTCAGCTCAGGTCACGATCTCACGGTCCCTGAGTTCAAGCCCCGCGTTGGGCTCTGGGCTGATGGCTCAGAGCCTGGTGCCTGCTTCCGATTCTGTGTCTCCCTCTCTCTCTGCCCCTCCCCCATTCATGCTCTGTCTCTCTCTGTCTCAAAAATAAATAAAACGTTAAAAAAAATTTAATGAAAAAAAAAAGACTGATAATGAGGGCAATGAATTCTTCCAGCAGTTTAAGGAAGAAAAACTGAACTACACATAAATTCTTCTAGATATCCATAAAAAAAGAAATTCCTTTCACTTCATTTTATCATACCAGCACAACCTTGATACCAAAACCCAGTAAGAATATCTTCAGAAAGAAAAATTACAGGTTAATATGCCTAAAAATGATGATAATTCCGTATTTTTAGGCAACCAACTTGTTGGCTAAATTTTAACACTGTAACCAAATTAGGAATAAAACAAATTTCCCTTACTGCCACAGGAAATCTATAAGGAAAGGCACATATACACTTCATAAATAGTATTGTTAATGATGGAATGTAGAAAACTTCCCTTCATAAAATTGGAAAAAAAGACAATGATGCTCAACAACATTTCTATTAAATAATGTACAGAAAGCCCTACAAGTCCTACAAGTTCAAGATCAAATAAATTCAAAATGGCAAATAAGCATGGGAAAAGATCTAAAAATAGCTTGTATTAGGCAACTGTAAACTGCCTAATAAAATAAATAAGTGTATGCTAAAGACATAGCATTATTTGTTATGTATTTGTCAAAACCTATAGAATTCTATAGCACAGAAAGTGAAGCATAATGTTGAAAAAACATTTTTTTTTTAAATTTACAAGATCGGGGCATCCCAAGACAGAATGCAGACTATGACAAAAGAATCTAAGTGTATTACAAATGTATGAGACAATCTCAGTAAAGGTGTACAAATGAACAGTTGTGATATTACTGTAACATACTGGAGCAATTAAGTAAATGGATGATAAAAGGAGTCCAGTTTTCCACTGTTGGAGTTAGGATTTACAGATAAACAAGTCAAGAGGTTAGAATGATCCATGCAATCATGGATTCGAATTGGAAACATCAGTATGAACTCGTTTAGTTCAGTTTGATCAGTGGTGCTGAGCCAATCTGATATCCGTGAGAAAACAAAGTCAAAACTGAGTGATCAGACAAACCTTGGCTCCCACTTGACGTTATATGAAAATTCACTTCTCCAAGTGGATTGTTGATCTATACGTTAATTGTGAAAGGTAAAACAATAAAGCTCTTGGCTGTGGAAAGATTTCATGAATCAGATACAAAAGCCACTAGTAGGAAAAAGCTAAAGAATTAGAACTACATTAAAATTAAGAATGTAAGTTTCCACCAGAAAGTCACTAGGTAAAAGAAGATATTTGCAAGAAATGGATTTGACAAACACCTGATCCAGAATCACAAATGGGGCTTAAAATTTATAAGTGAAAGACAAACAACCCAATATAAAAATGGATAAAAGATTTGAACAGGTACTTTATAAGAGGAGACATCCAAATAGCAATAAGCAATGAAAAAGTGCTCAATAAATAACTCATTAGTGCTGGGGAGGTCACAGAGAGGATGTGACTGCTGATTGAATTGTGAGTTGGATCCCAGCCATTGGAGGCTCCTCATTCCTTTCCCTGTCCTCGGAGTGTGCATTCCACTTGTCTTCCCTGCTTCCAGAAGCTGCCCCAAGGACCTAGCCTTAGACAGAGATGTGGTTGTGCCGAGACCATCTGGAAGGTACCCGTGACTGAAACTAGTTAAGGCCTTTACATGCACTTAAGATTTGACAGACAGATACAGAGATCTGCTCCTCTCGTAGCATGCAAGACGAGCCTCGTAAGTAAGTTCCCTGCTTCTGAAACCTGCCACCTTCCAATCTGGAGGAGCTCACCTCTTTCTTCAGTCTCTCCCTGCCCTCCAAGTACAGGGGCCAGTTTCACATCAACCCAGGAAGGTCCACAGGAGGTTGCAAACCAACAATTAGAAGCATGTGAATCCAAACCAAGTGAGATATCGCTACCTGCCACCAGAATGCTTAATGTTAAAAAAAAAAAGTCTAACTATAGAATCTATAGTTAGGGAGGTGAAGCAATTGTAACTCGCATTTCATTTTGGAAAAATGTTTGGCAGTATCTGCTGAAGTTGAATATACACTTAAACTATGACCCAGCATTTTCACTTCTAGACACTCACTACAAGTGCATACCAGTGAACAACAAAAGTCAAGTGCAAGGATATTCATAGCAACTATTTAACCTTTGAGAAGTGGAAATTCCCATCAGTAATAGAATGGGTAAAGAAATCAATTTTGTATTATTTATCAAAAGGAATATTATATATCAATGAAAATGAATAGATTACATATACACGTGACAACATGAGTTAATATCACAACACAATATTGGATTAAAGAAGCCAGACAAAAAGGTGAATATGTTCTATGATTCCATCAATATGCCTTGTAAAAGTAGACAAAACCAACTTGTGTTGGTAGAAGTCAGGATGGTGACAACTGCCACAAAGGAGAGCAAAAGAGTGACTTAGGGGGGAGCTAGGAGGGTTTCTGGGGCTGGTGATCGTTCTATTTCCTGATCTATGCTGTGGTTACATGCATGTGCTCATATTTTGAAAGTTCACTCAGCTTGTGCTCATAATTTGGGCACTTTCTGCATGCACAAGAAACTTCAGTAGAAAAAAACTATCAATGCTAGAAAAAAGACATAACTTAAAGAATGTAGAGGCCACAAATGATAGCGATAGGAGCAAAAACTAACGTGGGAACAAAAAGGGTAAAGAAAATCAGTAACCAAAGTTGCTTTTGAGGGAAAAAAAATAAAACAACAATAAGAAGGCAAACCTGTAGCAAATCTGCCCAAGAGATAAAGGGGAATAATTTTTTAAAAGAATAAATCTCAATCCAGAACTGAAGGTTTTTTTTTTTTTTTTAAAAAAGAATATTTTCTTGGTCCTTCCCAGCTTGTGCTGTAAAGCTGTGTTTATTTGAGACTTCCATTTTCAAGTGCTTTTAAACTAGATGAGGTTTATTTTCATCTTTCTTTTCCTTAATTCCAAAGGCAATGGTCTACTGTTTGTGACTCAACATTCTGGATTTGCATAATAGAAAACATGCAATTCTTTTTCGAATCTCAAGAGAAATATTTTAACACATTTGTCCTTTTCAGCATCATTACCAGTTATGACACTAACATCATGAAAAATACTAATACTCATTCTAAAATAGTCACAAATACTGAGTTTGCCTTGTAATACATTACCTTCTATTCAACAAGAGCTATGCATTTAGCCCTTGGTTTTCATTTGTAATTTATTGATGGTATCAGCATATACGGAGTTTCTAGTAAATGCTGGCCACAGGTCTAGACCCTACAATGCAACAGTGCATAAAACACGACCCCTTCTCAGGGCGCCTGGGTAGCTCAGTTGGTTGAGTGTCCGACCTCAGCTCAGGTCATGATCTCATGGTTTGTGAGTTTGAGCCCCACGTCGGGCTCTGCGCTGATAGCTTGGAGCCTGGAGCCTGTTTCGGATTCTGTGTCTCCCTCTCTCTCTGCCCCTCCCTGACTCACGCTCTGTCTCTCTCTCTCTTTCTCAAAAATAAACATAAAAAAAAAAAGATCCCTTCTCTAAAAAAGCTCCATTTCCATAGGGCAAAGACATGGACACACATAAACAATTATGTTGGCAATTATGTGCCAACAAAAAAATAAGTGTGGGGTCATATGGAGGCTCAGAGGAGAAAATAATTAAGTTTGTTTAGAGGACAAGCTGAATACCGCAGGAAAAATTAGCATGCTGTCCTCAGCAGGTACACGGTGTGTAGGAAGGCCCAGAGACAAGTGTGGGACTGTTCAAAGGGCTCTATCCGTGAAAGACATAGCAAGCCGTGTTAAGATGCTCAGCTGCAGCCTACAGGCAGAGGAGAGCCCCAGAGGCTC